TAATAAAATAAAAGTCCAAAGTCAACCAAGCACAAGGAGTAAGAACAAGAGAAGGAAAGCAAGAGAAGCAGAGAACAGAGTGCGGATGAAAGTAATAAGCAGTTTGGCATTACTCGCACTTAGGAGCGGGGAGGGCGTCAAGAAATGAGGCCAGGAGCCTCTGGATTCCTGAGAACCAAGCAGAGTACCACTGCGGGGACAGAAAGGGGGTCGGAGGATCCAGGAAACCTGCCACTTGTGCCAAGACACTGCACATCACTGTTTCTCCTCATCCACACTTCTAACTGTGCCTGTAAAGGAATCCTACAGGGAGTACTCCTGGGTGTGGAGAGCTGGGGACATTCCCCTTTCCGTACCTGCTTCCCTTTCCAGTGTAAGGAGGATCTTGCCTCGTCAAAGAGCCACATACCTTGGGATTCCAACTCAGAATCAAAGGAGGTGTGGGTTTTCGGTTATGTTGGGGTGTCCGTCACAAAGCCTGATCCAGGGAGAACGGAAAAGGCGGAAGGGGAAAGAAATGGCCACAGGAACCACCCCAGACAGCGCCGTACCTCAGAGACAACCCTACACCGCAACCCATCCGAGTCGCCACTCTCATGCCAAGAAGCCGGAACGGGCCAGTGGGGTGCCCGGGGCGCCCTCCCGGTAGGAAGGACAAACCGCCGGCCAGCGCCAGGCCCCTGCCCTTCCCGCCGTGCCCCTGTCACCTCGGGGCTCCCCGACTCCTCGGCCTCTCCGGCACAAATAGAAGAGGTCCGCGGCTCTGTTTACCTTGGTCATCCCAACCCCCACCACGAACACCCGGTGCCGGGGCCGAGGCTTTACGGCCGTAAGGAGCATGGCTCAGACTGTGCGCTGCGGAGGCCGACAGAGCAAGTCCTGAGACAGCCGACGCGTGCGCTCACGGACCAAAGCGGCAGCGACGCCGGCGCTCACCCAAGAGCTAGGGGCGGGCCCGGAGGCGGTGAGGGGGCGGGGGGCACGCTCCGGCGGCGCGAGGTGGAGCGAGAGTAGGGCGCCTGCGCGTGCGCAGAGGCGGCCGGTGGTGGCGTTCTTTTCGGGGAGGGGGGCGTTCAGCAGTTCTTTGCGAAGCTCTGGACCCGGCTCACAAGCGGATGGGAATCTGAGTCCACATCACACATCAGGAAAAAGTTTCGTAACCTAGTACAGCCATTCGGGTTTACGTTCTCTATAATGAGAGGAGTAGCGCCTGAGGCTGAGAGCAGAGGGTGGCCTGAAACCGGACTCAGAAAAGCGTAGCCTGAGGAAAGGTTTTGGGAGTGTTCTAATTGTTCTGTATCCTGTTACTGTTGGTACTCAGAAGAGTCATTGCAAGTGCAAAAAGTCATAAGGCTGTACAACAAGACTATGGGGAGTGTTTTACTGGATGTCTAAAACAACCAGATTTCATTTCACTAGCTATGTGACCTTTCTTGTTAATCTCTGAATCTCACTCTTGTTTTGCTCCCACAAATTATGCTCAGAAACTGAGCTTTTGTCTTTGCCGATGGTTTATTTAGCACAGATTTGCTGTAGGGATTCTAATTTATAATAGTAATATTTCACAAGCCAGTAGCATACGGTTAACGTCTCTTAATAAGCTCATAAAGAAATAACATACTCCAAACCAAAGATAGGTTAACTACGTTATAGTTCCAGGCATAAGGGAGATGAAATAAAGTCCAAGTTTAGTTGTGATGTACTTTCTATGAGTTAGTTGGTCCTCTGTAAATCAGTCCTTCCAACTAAGCTGGGAATCAGCTGCCAGCTTAGGTTCCTTACTGCTGGGGCACACAGCTAGCTGGCACCGAGTTGACCACTACCTAGGAAGAGTAGGCTTGCCAAGGCAGAACTGAAGTCTTTGTCTTCCTGAGACCACTGTGCCTTGAATACCACTCAGGACCAAGGGTAGGGTGGCCACCCCACATGAGCAAGTGTCTCAAGACCTTCAGAGATCTGCTTTGATCAGCAAAGAGTAGCCTTGCCCACATAGAACATTCTCAATAAGTCCTCATAAATTCTTGGTATTTAAAGTTTAAATGTTCATTATATCATAGTTGCTCCTCCATATGTTCCTATCTATAAGCACTCAGCAGCACAATTCTGCTATCATCTTCACATGGCCTCCCAAGTTCACCCTCAGATCAGAACAACTGCACGTAAGTCATAAGTGGATTTGAAATCTTCACAAACCAACACATTCTCATAAGGTGTTTTGTGAAGATGATCCTAATAAATACACAGCAAGGACCTTACTCAGGACTCCTGTCTCCTCCTGGACATTAACCTCTCTCATATTCAATTCTGCATCTGCTCCCTTGCTGGACAAGAGAGAATTCCAGACTCAAAGTCTGTGACATCTATGGCCATACTGTTATTACCACTTTGTCCTATGCCCATTGCTGCTCTGCTGATCTTTCTTGGAGACCTAGGAATAATAATAATGTAGAGGAAGGGGGCACTTTGTTATTTTAAAAACCAGGCACCAGATTTCCTCTTAACAAAAGGAATTCTTTTACTGGTGTATTAGTTTGCAAGTGCTGCTATAACAAAGGACCACAGGTTGGATGGCTTAAACAACAGAAATTTATTTTTCCACAGTTCTGGAAGCTGAAAGGCTGAGATAAAGGTGTCGGTAGGTTGATTTTGTGTGAGGTCTCTCTCCTTGGCTTACAGATGGCCATCTTCTCCCTTTGTCTTCACAGGTCTGTCCTCTATACCTATCTGTGTCCAAATTTCCTCTTCTTATAAGGACATCAGTCATATTGGATTAATGCCTAGCCTAATGATCTCATTTTGAACTTAATTACTTTTTTGAAGACCCTGTCTGCAAACACAATCATATTTTGATGTACTAGGGAATAGGACTTCAGCATACGAATTTAGGGGGACATAATTCAGTCCACAACATTTAGCATTAACCTCATTAAGTATGAGAAGTGGGGTCCCACAGTTGATCCCCAACCTTTCTTTCTCATGCATTCTTGTGTCTACTATTCTTTAAGGAGTGAAGGAGTTGGAGTTGTGTCCACTAATATATAGAAAAGGGACACAGAGGGATGGCCAGATGATCCATAACCTGAATTAACTCATTGGAAGCAAAGGCAAGGGATCAAAAATGACTAGGACTGATACAAACCCCAATTAATCTTTTAGGTCACACAGAGGAACTTAGGGTTTCCCATTAGACCCAGGAAGGAGATGAGAGCACATTTTTGCTTAAACCTTACTAGACATAGTGATGACCTCAGCAAACACCAATGACTTTGAAAAGAGAGAATGTTAGGGGTGTCTGAGTGGCTCAGTTGGTTAACCATCTGACTTCAGTTCAAGTCATGATCTCATGGTAGTGACTTTGAGCTCCGCGTCAGGCTCTGTGCTGACCACTCAGAGCCCGTAGCCTGCTTTGGATTCTGTGTCACCATCTCTCTCTGCTCCTCCCCTGCTCATGCTCTCTCTCAAAAATAAATACACATTAATTTTTTTTTGAAAGCCATGGCTTTCAAAGAAATAAAAAGAATTTTATTTCTAGATCACCTAATAGTCCAGCCATTGGTTGGAGGCATGAATTATTAGTGACTTGGGGTCATTAACAAGTGGAAGGCGAGTGAGGTAGAGTGTTCACTGAACACTCTTTATTGATCCACCCAGAATGAACTAAACAGGGCCACTGATGACCTCTGCAAAAGCATTTTGGGTAGATAGTGGAGGCAGAGGCTAGGGATTCACATTCACAAATATTTTTGCCATCTAATTAGTGAGCATAAATTTGGGATGATTGAAGAGTAACTGGGAGGTGAGGCAGTGAAGCCCATGAATGTAGACAACATCAGAATGAATAAATGAAATGACATTTAAAAAATGGAATAAGAAGCAAGGTTCACACACCCCCATTCAATCATCATAATACCACCATGACATAGTGACAAAGATTATCTTCTTGACCAAATTCTAGCCATGCCCCTCTGAGCCCACTTCTCTACTAGGCCTGAACCTTGGCCTACAATGACTTGAACACTAACATAGTTTCTAGCAGATCAAGGCCACATTCCTAAGATGACCCTGGCCCCCCTTAGAGTGCCTGGAGGAGAACACTTAAGCCAACTGTAGAAATTAATAAAGGAAAACCCTCACTAAAATGCAGTCAGGAGGCCAGAAAGAGGAGTTCCCATGTGATACCACTGGACATCAATTACAGGAGGAATTGTCAATTATAATAGACTCAACAGGAGAGGGTGTACATTGTATCTCCTACAAGAAATCCAGTAGGTCAGCTGCTCAGCCCATGAGAAACTGTGATCACTCTGACCTCTTGCTTTTCTCCAGTGGGTTTTGGTTTTAAAGCAACCACTCCCAACTTCTCCATAAAATATGGTTTCCTCCTCTGTTGGACTAGCCTGTTTTTTTCCGGTGGCTTGTTTGTCCCAAATTGCAATTCTTGGCCATTCCCAAAGACACCTACTTTTGCTGGTAAAACAACTTTTATTTTTAAGGTCAGCACTGCCAAAAGAATTTACTGCTTGTTTCAGCCAACACCTGAAGACAGCACCCCCACTGTCTGTCACCGCTGCCACCAACCCCAGTCTCTGTGGGAGCCTAAGGTTGGATAGGCGCCAGTTAGCTAACACAGATGAGTTTCACGTGGCCAAACGCCTTTCCTGATTTTTGTAATTCTTCACAAGCCCGGTTCACCCACCTCTCTCGTTCCTCTTTCTCCCTTTAAAATTCTCAGGCACCTCTGTACAAATGGAAGTTGAATTCAGTTCACACACGACACTTCCCATTTGCAGTAGTACATTATCTGTTCTCACTACTTTAGCTTCCCCTTTATCTACGACAGTAGTCACTATTATTATCCCTGCTTTAGTGATTAAAACACTGGCACTTAAAGAGGTTGACATCCTTGTCCCAAATCACACAGCGGAGCCGGGCTTTACCTAGCCAGGGCTCCAGGGCTCTGAGAGTCAAGAGGCGAGAAGAACTGCGTTGTGCTCTCCGCCCATAGGTGGAGCAGTTTGCGAAACCTGGGGGCGCCGCTGCAAGCTTTCAGCGAGAGAGGAGGGAGCAGTGGAGGGGCCCTTGGCACCTTCCCAGCCTGCGCCCAGATGCTGCGAGCCCTGACCGGTGCCCTGCGCCTTCCACGCCCCTGGAGACCCCTACAGACCCGCAGCTGCGCCTCCGATGGGGCGGCTGGGGACCCGGAAATCCAAGTGCGCGTCCTGGCAGGTCCAGACCAAGGTAAGTGCGCTGTCGCGGGAGCGCCCAGGGGGAGACGCGACGGGTCCGAGCCGGGCTCCTGGCGCTGCTGCCAGGGCCGAAGCCATGGCCAGAGCGGCCCACTACACGCGGGAACACAGACCAGTAAGGGGAAGGCGGGTCGTTTAAGGATTTGATCCCGAATGTGCGGTTTCCCAGTCAAGGCTCCCCACGCCTTCCTAAGGCCGGGGAAGTGGGTGGCCCCGTCACTAGCCGCCCAGACCCTAGTTGAGGTGGAGCTCTAGGTCAATCTAAGTCCCTTCAGTCCCCCATTCGAAGGCCTGGGGCTGTGACGGAGGGACGGAGACTCGCTCAGCGATAGACCAAGCACCGGCGACCCCCACCCCTCACTGCTTCCACCCCAGTAACTTTAAAAGGCCTGCTGTCCCATCGGCCAAGAGTCCTGGCTAGTTTCCAGAGCGCCGAGGCGGCGGAGCCAATCCGCCTCGCCATGCAGGGACGAAGAGGGAGGAGAGCAGAGGAGGAGCAAAGACCTGGGCAAGTCTCCATGCGCTCTGGCCCTGCTGTGGCTGGCCGTGGCTGGCGGACTTTTACACTCTTTTGAGTCAAAGGAGAAAGTTCGTGCTGGTCCCTGGCAGAGAACTTTTTTTTCCTAAGTAGGCTTCACGTGGAGCCCTAAGCTCAAAGTGGGGCTTGAACTCACCACCCGAGATCAAGACCTGAGCTGAGATCAAGAGTGGGATGCTTAACTTACTGAGCCACCCAGGCAGCCCTCCATTTTCCACTAAGGGCGTTTTGTTTTTTGCTGGGGTGCAAGGGGATGTCAAAGTGCATTCAGTGGCGTGAACACCCCTCAGTCCTCTGCGTGTTACCATAAGGGCAAAGCCATTTTCTTGGCTTTACTTTCTCCCCAGTCCCAACTCTCTCCCTGAGTTTGATGTAGCATAGTTTGTGTTTTAATTTACAGTTTTAAGTACATAGATGGTGTCATACTATAAAACTCGTATTTCTTCCTTTTTTCCCTGGTTGATACTAAGTTTTGAAGAGCTGCTTTGCCATATAAATCTAGTTTCTTGCTCCCTGCTGTTGTATACTGTTCCGTAGAGTGCACCCCCGACATGGACATGAAGGGTCTTCCTGTAGCCATTTGGGATTGTTGGTTCTTTTTTGGTTTTGTTTTTTTAATGTTTATTTATTTTTTAGAGAGAGACAGAGAGAGCAAGGGAGGGGCAGAGAGAGGAGACACAGAACTCAAAGCAGGCTCCATGCTCCGCACTGTCAGTACAGAGCCTGACATGGGGCTCGAACTCACAAACTGTGAGATCATGATCTGAGCTGAAGTCAGACACTTAACCGACTGAGCCACCCAGATGCTTAGGATTGTTGGTTCTTAGAGAATACTCCTTACTCTCATGCTTAGTTCATTGCAAAGCACAACAGCACTTGCTTTGAGATTGTTATAATTATTCTCCCTACTTTACAGATTAAGAAATTGAGGCAAAGGTTAGGCAGTTTGAATCAGATCTGATTTCAAAACCTGTTTTCTCAACTATTAGATCATCACTACTTCTTTAGTATTGACTCAAAAGACAGACTTCTACATCAATTAAAAAAACCAAAAACCAAAAAACTATCATATGTCAAATTAGGGCTCACGTGCAAATACAGAATGTTTTATCCACAAATAACAAGGATTAGCAGATTAAAAGGCTGCCCTTGCCAGAGGGCATATAGAAGGCAGGAGGAAGTCACTGAGGAAGGAAACCACAGAGGAAGGAAACCATGGAGAAACCACGGATGGAGGAGGCAGCCGGAAGAGACTCACAAAGGAGAACACTGCCACCACCCCCTACCTCCATCCCCCCCACCTTCCACCAACCTACAGTGATTTGGGGTCATTTGATATTCATGTTAGAAGCCACAGGTTCTGCTTCCACTTGAGCTGATGGCACCACAACATTGTCACATTTTCTGTTGCCCTTGAAAATGGGATTCCCTTTTTAACCACTCTTGGCTCTTCTTATGGCTCTACCCAACTGCTTAGCTGGGCGTTCAACGTTCTCCACCACAACCTTACCTTTCCATCTTATCTCTTCAGCGCATTGGGTTCATTTCAAACTGTCCCACCTCTGTTTTGTTCACTTGGAGTCTCTTTCCACTCTGCTTATGTAAGTCCTTATGGAATTACACACCCCCTCCTTCCCATTTTCCCACTACTTTCCATGTATCTAAACTTATCTCTCTCATAGGTTGTTAACTCTTAGAGAGTGAGGATTGCTAGGTGGGTCCAGCTACTAGGCACATCCTCTTCTGGGCCTGAATTTCCCCTTCTATATAGTAAGGGGTTGTAAAAAGAGTTGGTCTCTAATACCTTACAGTGGTTCCTGTTGACTTTTTCTGGGGAACAATAATTTTCTGTCCCTTTCAAGGTCTAGTTTCTAGGTAAGAGTAAGAGTGGGGAGGGTATAGTACATACCTATCCTTACTGTGGAGGTCCAGCAAGGGCAATGTTCCCAGAATCAGGGCTTGACTAAAAAGTCAGGGACCATGACTGATTCCTCCCTATTTCTCCAGGACTTGACATGTGATAAGTGCAAATTAAATGAAAGCCAAACATAACCCTGTCTGGCTCCTCATAGCTCCCAGCTTGGAGTTCATTCCTTCTATTAAATCCTAGAGTTTCCCTAGCATCTATGCATTTTTCCTGCTCACTGCTCACTCACAAACTCTGGCTAAGCACTTATGGGCATTATCTCTCTCTTTTTTTAAGACTTTATTTTTAAGTACTCTCTACACCCAAGATTTACAAACAAATTTACAACCCCAAGATCAAGAGTTGCATTCCCTACTGACTGAGCCAGCTAGGTGCCCCAAGGCATTATCTCTTTTAATCCTCATAACAACCTTTTTATTATTAAAAAATAATTTTTTTAATGTTTATTTGTTTTTGAGAAACAGACAGAGTGCAAGTGGGGGGTGGGGGCAGAGAAAGAGGGAGACACAGAATCGGAAGCAGGCTCCAGTCTCTGAGCTGTCAGCGCAGAACCCAACATGGGGTTCAAACCCATGAACTGTGAAATCATGACCTGAGCCGAAGTCAGCTGCTTAAGCAACTGAGCCACCCAGGTGCCCCCCTTTTTATTATTTCTACTTATGGATTAGGAAATTGAAGACCAGAGGGTAAAGCACCTTGCCCAACACCAGTGGAACTAGTATATGACTAAGCTGTGACATGAGCCAAGCACCCCATTTGTATTCTGAAAGAAGGAGATAGAGATGGAGAGAAGAGATAAAGATGAAATATGGGAGAGCATCAGCCAGAAAGGCAAGACAGAATAGGAAAGTGAAGAGGAGAGAAGAACGTCTATCGATCTCAGGATATTGCCTGAGGATAACAAATTACCACAAACTTTATTGCTTAAAATAACACACATGTATTATCTTATAGTTCCTATAGATCAGAAGTCCAGGCACAATGTAGCTGGGTTCTCTACTTCAGGGTTTTACTAGGCCACAATCCAAGAATTGGCCAGGGGTATGGTCTCCTCATAGGCTTGACTAGGGAGAGATCTGCTTCCAAGCTCCTCCCATTGGTAGAAGTCACCTCCTGTGGTTGTAGGACTGAAGTCCTGTTTTCTTCCTGTTGGTCCGGGGGATGTCTCGCAGCTCCTGGGGGCAGCCTATAGTTCTTTGCCACAGGACCCTCTCTATAGGTCCACTAGTTTCACTAGTATGCCCTAGCAAGACAGAGTCTTACATACATTGTAACCTAATTATTGAACGAACATCTCATCTCCTTTGCCATATCATTAAATTTTAATCTTCGAAGTGACATTTTATGAGTTTAGCTGTATTCTGTTGGTTAGAAGCAATTCACAGGGCCCTGCCCACACTCCAGGGAAGGAGATTATTGAGGATATGAAGATGGGGCCTGTCTGCCACAAAGATGTTGGACCTCTAGACTGTTTTCCTCAATCCCTCTGATGTGGTTTCTTTGTATCTACCAGAATTTCCCTTCCCCAGAGTTGCAGCATTTTCTTTCATGGAACGTTAGATCTGGAGAAGACCCTGGGGACATCTGAGTTCTGTGGGACCTCCAGACCTGTTGGGCTCAAAGAACTCTTTGAAGGTTTCTGGGGAGGCTAAGGAAACCAGCCTAGTCTGCATGTTACAGATTTCTGTCCTGAACCACAGTTCTCTAACTCCTGGATGGAAACCCTGTCCCTTGAGCGCTCCAAAACTTTTATTGTCTCTTCTGTGTCTCAGATTAACTCACACTGAGAATGCCATCTTAATAAATACTGCTTATTTCACAGACAAGGCTCAGGACCCTGGGGGAAAATACTAAGGGGTCTTTGAAGGCCAAAGGATAGGTAAATACAGGAGGCGATACAACCAAGAAGGTACGAGAGTATTCGAGCCCTTGCCCAGAACTGGTCTCTCTTCTCTACAACTGGCCCAGATTGTGGGGGTGAGTTGAGGCCAGAGTAGGATGCAATGGCCATATTGGGGATGGGGGGGGGGGGCCATCTTTTGGGTGGTATTAAGGAATTTGGCTTAATTTTGATGAAAAGGGAAAGGGAGGGTCATGGTTGGATTTGGGTTAGAAAGAGGACTCTGACCCAAATGAGGAATGAATGTGGAGTAGGGAGGGGGAGCAAGACCAAAGGCAGGAGGGTCAATTTTGGGTGATCCATGTAGTAAAGAACCCATATAGGTTGCTGGCTGCAAGGAGGGATATTAGCTAAAGTATCTGAGATGTCATTTAAGAGGTTGAACTGGCATTGGAGACTGAGTAAATTCCATGGGTGAGGAAGAGGGGACTTCTGAGTTGATAGACCATTTACTCACAAAGGGAACAGGAGAAAAGATTGATCATTTTTTTTGACCGGTTGGTCAAGACATCAAGTGGGCAACTGTGTATTCACGCTTAGAGCTCCGGGGAGAGTTCTGGGCTAGTCAGATATGCAGAGCAGTTCTGGGTATACAGGAGGCAAGCACACAGGTGGTGTGGAAGGTGGAGAAGGGGCACGTGAGCATGTGAAAGCCCTCCTGACTTGCCCGTGTGTTTGTGTGTATAATAACAGCAGAAGCAGGTAGGAACCAATGCAGTGGTCATTGTTGTCTGTCTCTCCGTGTTGCTCCATGGGGGTTACAAGCCCTTTCACTTCTGTGAGGGAGAAAGAGCAACGGGTTATTCTCTCCATGTTATGGTCAGGGAAACTGAAGCCTGGGTGTCTGTGACTCGCTCTAAGTCACACTGCTCATCAAGGGTAGAGGCCACCAAGAATCCAGGCGGCTGCCTCCAGGCCCCAGCCCAGGAGTGAGCAGGCCAGCTGGCTCACCCAAGGCTGCCCTGTCACCTGCAGGAATCACGGAGATCCTGATGAACAGACCAAGTGCCCGTAATGCCCTGGGGAATGTCTTGGTCCGTGAGGTGAGAAAGGGCAGCACCAGGGTGGGTGGGGGCTGGGCTAGGGCTGGGCTGGGAGATACCTGCAAAGATCTCCTCTGCAGCTTCTGGAAGCTCTGGCCCGGCTGCGGGAGGACCAGCAAGTACGCGTTCTGCTATTCAGAAGTGGAGTGAAGGGTGTGTTCTGTGCAGGTGGGTTTCCTCCCTTGCCTCTACTCCAGGGCTCAGCAGGGTTCCCACCAGCCTATAGGGGGTTGGGGGCGTAGGTCAGCTCTAGCATAGGACTTATTGTTCCCATTTTATAGATGTGAACTCAAATACTCAGAGGTAAAATGCCTTGCCTAGTGTTACACAGCTAGTAAGAGGTAGGATAGAATTCAATTTTAACTTGGCCCCTCTGACCCTCAAATCCTTATTCTTTCTGCTACACCATGCTCTGTTCTGATGCTTCACTGAGGAAACTAAGTGCTGTGACATTGACAAGGTCTGTGGCCAAGAAGGTACTCTGTGCCCCTTTGCCCACCCACAAGATCTCAGTTCCTGTCGCCAAAACTCTCCACTGCCCCTGGACAATTTGGTCCTCACAGTAGGGCAAGCATCACCAACTTCTGTTTCAAAGACACAAAACACTGACTCACATCCCCACAACAAGAAGCAAGTGAGTGAGAGATGCACTGAGCTGAGCTAAGAACCCACTCTGGGGTGATTGGGGAAGGGATAGCAGGAGTCACTGAGGAGGTGAGAAGAGGCCATGGATGGGTAGGATGGGAAGAACATGGAATTTCAAGGTGATATGGCTCAGTCTCTAGGTCTGAGCTGTCGGGATCACAGTGCCCAGTTTGGGGTCTCCCCTGGCACGACAAGTATGCAGAGGGGTCTGCCTGACGCAGCTGCCCTGGATGAGGGCCTCACTCTACCCTGGCTTCCTCCTTCAGCGCTATGCCTGTCTGACCTTCTCTATGAAGGTCCCAGTAGCCCCACTATCCCACCTAAGCACAGGGAAGTGGAGGGGTTGGGGGGATGGCTGCAGGAGGTCTGTCTCTGACTTGTTCTGGAATCCTGGGATAGTTCCTACCCCTCTTTGGCCTCAGTTTCTCCATCTGTCTTTGAGGGGCTGGGACTAATCAAAGACATGCAAGGGCTGTCAGCTCTGAATTCCCATAGTTTCAGATGTGAAGAGAATATATTCACTCCCTACTCCCACCTCAGCCCCCTGCCATCTGGCCTTTGATGACTCTGCCATGGTACTACTCTTACCAAAGTCCTTCCCAACTCCATCCCACTGTATCCTGCACTTGCTTGTCAGTTCTCTCATCTTGACTTTGTAGTCTCCTTGGACCACACTGACCCCTCCTATCAAAAAGTAATATGTTGGGGCACCTGGGTGGCTCAGTCAGTTAAGCGTCCGACTCTTGATTTTGGCTTGGGTTATGATCTCAGGGTTGTGGGATTGAGCCCCACATCGGGCTCTGGGCTGACAGCACAGAGCCTGCTTGGGATTCTCTCTCTCTCTCTCTCTCTCTCTCTCTCTCTCTCTTTCTCTCTCTCTCTCCCCCCCTCCCCCACTCTCATACACTCTCTCTCTCAAAATAAATAAACCTTAAAAAAATCAATATGTCAATTATTTCTCAATAAAACTGGGAAGAAATAATACATTTTTTATGTTTAAATTCGTTTATCTATTTTGAGAGAGCGGGAGAGAGAGAAAGCATGGGGGGGGGAGGAGCAGAGAGAGAAAGAGAGAGAGAGAATCCCAAGCAGGCTCCATACTATCACCGTGGAGCCTGATGTAGGGCTTGAACCTACGAACCGTGAGATCATGACCCGAATGGAAGTCAGATGCCCAACTGACTGAGCCACCCAGGTGCCCCAAGAAATAATACATTTTAAATATTATCATATATATTTTAAATTGTGGTAAATAAATAAATTACACAGTTTACATTTTAACCATTTTTAAGTATAAAATAAAGTGGCACTGAGTGCATTCACATGGCCATGCAACTATCACCACTGTCCAATTCCAGAAATCTTTTATCATCCCAAATTCTGTACCTATTAAGCAATCCCTCTCCATTCCTCCTCCCCCCACCAGCCCCTGATAATCTCTGTTGTACTTTCTATCTCTATGAATTTGCCTATTCTAGATACCTCATACAAGTGGAAACATACATTTGTTCTTTTGTATCTGGCTTTTTTTACTTAGCATAATATCCTCAAGGTTCACCCATAGTGAACATGTCAGAACATGTCAGAACTTCATTCCTTTTTATGGCTGAATCATATTCCATTGTATTTATACTACGTTTTATCTATCTTGATGTGCCCTGGGTTGTTTACACCTTTTGGCTATTGTGAATAGTGCTGCTATGAAAATTGGTATGCAAGTCTCTGTTTGAGTCTTTGCTTTTAAATCTTTTAAGAGTGAAACTGCTGGGTCATATAGTAATTCTACGAATAACTTTTTGAGGAACTGCCCACATGTTTTCCAGAGCAGCTGCATCATTTCACATTCCCACCAGCAATGCACTAGCGTTCTCCACATCCATGCCAACACTTACTTTCTATTTCTGTGGTTTTTTTATAATAACCATCCTAAACGGTGTGAAGTTGGTTTCTCATTGTGGATTCAATTTGCATTTCTCTAATGACTAATGATGTTGAACATCTTTTCTTGCTTGCGTTTATTGCCCATCTGTATATATCTTCTTTGAAGAAATGTCTATTTGAGCCCTTTGTCCTTTGTGGTTTTGGTTGGTGAGTTCTAAGAGTTCCTTAGGTATCCTAGATATTAATACCTTATCAGATATGTAATTTGCTAGTATATTCTTCATTCCATGGGGTGTCTTTTCACTCTCTTGATAGTGTCCTTCGATGCACAAAAGTTTTTAATTCTAATGAAGTCCAACTGACCTTTTTGTTGTTGCACCTGTCCTTTTTTGACACACCGGGGGGGGGGCGCCCGGCCCGCCCGGGGGGCGGGGCCCGTGCCTCCCTCTCTGCCTCTCAAGTCACCTTTGCTGGGTCCTTTAACAACCTGGGATTCAGTAATAGGTCATTTCCCAAGGGCTGTCACCACCCCCTCACTATCTGCAGGTGCAGACCTGAAGGAGCGGGAGCAGATGAGTGAGGCGGAAGTGGGGATCTTTGTCCAGCGGCTCCGAGGCCTGATGAATGAGATTGGTGAGGGTCTTGGAGTGGGTTGGAGGAGGGCGTTCAGGGACCCTGCTGATCCCAGCCCCACCACACCTACCATCCTCCACTCTAAAGAGAGGACAGTTTCTGTTGTGAGCTCTGTGAAGACAGATGACTCTCCCAGGAGGAAGGGCACAAAGAATTCTACAAGGTGGAAAGGGACAAGAGAGTTCAGAGGGCATTTCTCCCGGAGGGAGCTCTGGTGCTTAGCCTTTGTGTCCTGCTAGTTCTGACCTCCCCACCTCTCTACCCTCAGGGTTCAAGCCCAGCTATTCCAGTAGAGTCAGATTTCAGGCTGCAGGCCTTCAGGCTTTGATAACTACTGCTCTTTTTGCCTGGAATATCCCTCCTTGGCCACCTCAACTTTTTACTCATTCTTTAAAACCACCAGGAAGCCTTCCCTGACTGGTTCTCCAAGATTTCTTTATCAGAGCACTGATTACCATGGGTCATCATTGCCTGTTTACAGATCTGCCTTCCCCGTATCTATTCAATTCTATGTTTTCAGCACCCAGCATGGGGCTTGGCACACAGAACTTGGAGGAAGTGCAGAAAGGCTGGTCTGGGGATGCCAACAGGAGAGTGGGCCTGAGCACGGATCATTCAGCCCATCTCCCCACCCCAGTAGCCCAGCTAATTTCCCAACTTTCCCCAATAGAAAAACCAACTTCTAAGATAACCTGGCTGAGGTACCAGGTAAGGTTCCAAACCTGGGACCCATGAGGCCCTCTGTCCCAACCAGCTAGCCCCTTTCCAACCTTGAGTCCCTGTTCTGGTTCTGCTAGGGCCTCTCAGGCTGAGCCCTTCTTCATCTCCACAGCAGCCTTCCCGGCACCCACTATTGCGGCTATGGACGGGTTTGCCTTGGGTGGAGGCCTGGAACTTGCCCTGGCCTGTGATCTCCGAGTAGCAGGTACTGGGCAGAAGAAGAGGTGGGACAGGGTGAGGAGGGAAGTAAAGCAGGGTAAGTCTGGAGATTCTGCACTTAGCCACTGCTCTGAGCTTTCCAATCAACAGCAAAACTAAATGTAACGTGAGGGATACAGAGCAAGTTTGGGGGGAAGCTGGTTTCCCTCCTGGCCCAGCCACTGACTGCTGTAGTACCTTTTACTCTTCAGAACCAGCCTCCTTCACCTCAGGAATGCTTCTACCAACCCCACAGCAGTTGGCGAGAGGACAATCAACAAAAACGCAGGGAGGGGAGACTGAGGAAAAGATTAATTGTTCAACTTTCTGGTTCTATGCAAGCCACATTTATTTGTCATGTTTTGCACAAAGAACCATGGAGGCAGTTTGTCACCAGCCAGCCCAGTTAATCACAAACATGCCTGGGCAGAAACACTGCCCTCCGGTTCACTGGTACCAGGCAAGGGTTGCAATACGTGTTCAGAGCGGCTGAGTTTGAAGAGTGGAGGGAGGGGATGAAAAAGATGATTGCCTTTAACCTTACAGACTTGCAGGTTAGTGTGCCCTTCTTGGCGGCAGAAAGTCTGAGTGCTATCTGGTGCTACTCTCTTCCTCTCACTGCTTTTTCCTGCCACTCCAGGTAGAACATTTAGAAATGTGTAACTGCAGGCACAGAGGTAGCATCTACATGATGCATATCAGAGAAGGTATCAAATTACCAAGTCAGATCATAGCTCCAACTCTGTTTCTCATGTGCCCATGTTTAGGGCAACTAACTTGCAGGGTTTGGGTAGATGGCAGAGAGTGACTATAAAACCCCATAGGCAGGAGTATTGGCCATTCCCTGCTGCCAGACTGCATGGTTCAGATGGTCTGTGAGGGAATTCAGGAGAAGCCTGTGGGGTGGGACACACAAGGGAGCTCCTTAGAGAAGTAGAACTCAAAAGGAGAAGTGGACTGAAACATGGGAATTTTCAGGCTGATGAAAAGCTGGGAGGAATAACTGTGGTGTGAGCATGAGTCGTGATACTATAGGCCAGGCCAGAGCTAAGGGTCCATGAGACAGAGAATCCATTAACCCACAAATAGGCACTGGGTACCTCCCAAGAACCCCTTCCTTGTTACAAGCACCAGTACCTCGTTTGATCCTAAGCAGCTCTCTGACGATGGCAGAAGAGTAACCATATTTTTTCCACCTATGAATGAGGCTCAGAAAGGGTGAGATTTGCTTGGATGCATACCTCCACCACCGGAGGAGGCAGGATGAGGGCCTAGGCCTCCTGACTTCTATGTTAGGGCTCTTGCCAAGGCAGAGTCTGGGGAGGTCTGCTGCGGCCAGCCCATGACAGAAGTGGTTGGCTGGAGGGGTGAGCCTAGGGGCAGAAGACTCTCCTCCCTGGGGATTGGCACTGCAGGACAGCATGGGTGCTTCACTCTGTTCTGTTTAAGCAGCTTCCTCGGCTGTCATGGGGCTGATTGAGACCACCCGAGGGCTCCTCCCAGGAGCAGGTAACTGTACCCACAGCACCCATCCTTCTCTATTTACCCATTCCCACTCTATCCGAGCTACTCCCCTGCTTCCATCCTTTGCCTTATGTTCTGGGCTCTGCCCTTCCATCCTAACTCAGAATCTGTTCCTCTGAGAAGTCTTGGCTGACTCCCAGATTGGGCTCCTCTGGGCTCCCACTTCCTATGTCGATTTACCACCCGCACTCCATCCTGGCAGGAGGGACTCAGAGGCTGCCTCGATGTCTAGGGGTGGCCCTGGCAAAGGAGCTCATCTTCACAGGCCGAAGACTGAGTGGTGCACAGGCTCAAGCCCTGGGGTTGGTGAACCACACTGTTTCCCAGAATGAGGAGGGCAATGCTGCCTACCACCGGGCAAGAGCGCTGGCCCAGGAGATCCTGCCCCAGGTGAGGTAGCAGCCTAGCACAGGAGAGCCTGTGCCACGGGAGGGGGTATGTGTACACCCGTGGGGAGGCGAGGGGGTGCGTCCTGTGAGGACACACAAGATTCACTTAACTGGACTTAAATTTAATTAAAAATTTAGTTTCTCAGTTACACTTCCGCCACGTCAAATGTTAATAGCTACGTGTGGTTAGTGGCTACTAGATCAGACAGTACTGCAATAAAATGTCCCCAAAACTATAAAGCAAGATTCTAAAGCAGATAAAGAACTACAAGCTTATCTTTCCCAACAAACTGCACAGAGAAATTCCCATGTATCATGTAGGACATGTGTTACGACCCCAGCTAGGTGTAATCCTACCTGCTTCCAGGCCCAAAGCCTTTAGCAGGGCAGCCAGAATCTGGCTGATGGGGTCTCCAAGGACTGGAGAGCCTCTCACTGCTGGCTTCTCACTTCTCACTGCTGGGCCCTGGAGGAAGGTCCCAAGTTTCCGTATGAAAGCAGCTTGAAATGGAGCTAGGTTTTATAATGACTTAGCCCATATGGAACGCTTCCTGTCCATCAGACACAATCCCAGGTATTTTAAGAGTTTCTCAATCACTAGTACAATCCAGCCAAGTTGATTATCCCTGTTGTATTTGTAATACAACAGACCCAGAAAGGTTAAGTGACTTGCTCATCAAGGTCACAAAAAGTGATTGCAATACCAGAAAAAAAGACAATACTGGCATTTGGGCTTTTATTTTGTATACTACAAAATACAATATAAAAACTGGTATTCTTAAGAGTGCAGAATACATACAAAATTTTTAAAACTTAAATACTTAATGCATTTCCAACACAAAAAATTTGCATTTATAAAACAGATAAGCTTACAAAACTGTTAACCATATATTATCATTTTAATATTAACAGAAAAAAGTATATGAATTAATCACGAAAATAAGTATTTTATTTTGGAAAAAATACTTTGTCTCTCTTAAATTTAAATAATCCTCCCTCATAACTTTCAGGTGTTCTTTGAGGGCAAGGACTGTAACTTTAAAAATTAATAGTGAGTTGGTTTAAAAGAAAGAATTTGTTTTGTCTTTATTTCTTTTTCTTTTCTTCATCACATACAAATGGAGCCTGATGATGTTACTTGGGCCATTCTAATGCTACCAGGTTTCTATTACACTTGAGCAAAAGTCTGAACTAACACAAAAAACTCAAGGTAGTGCGTGGCTCACTGCACTAGCAAGACTTGTGGACTGTAGGGTTGTCTTTTTGCATAAACTGAATAACTGGGTCTTTGAGCTTCATCTCAAGAGGATTCAGATTTCAGATTTTTGAATATACTGAAACAATGGTCTCCTACTAATATAATTACTTATATTTCATTACTTAAAAATAGCTTTGTATACCAAGGCACCAGCTTACCAAAAATTAGTTCCACATTCACTAATCCCAATCTTCAACTTCTAGGAGAGTTATTGGGTGCCCAGAATGAGAGGGTTCCCGAATAGGATGAGTGTAAGGATGGTGTGATAGACTGCTGCTCTCTAGTGGATAAACCACCAAGACTAGGGAGTCAAATGGTATCCATACACTCAGGGAAAAAAATTACATTTTCAACACACACACAACACACATTGTATCTATACAGTTTTTACTTTTCTTTGGTGAGAAATCAGTTTATTAGGTAGTTACCTAAATAATAATGCATATTCATGACAAGCAAATCAAATAGAAGAATAAGGGCATAAAGTAAAAAATCACAAGTAGGGTGACCCAGCTGACCTTGTCTCCGTAGGGCTGTCTCAGTTAAAAGTGAAAGTCCCATATCTTGATAATCCTTCAGTCACTGGCAAACCAAGCCCTCACCAGAGATGATCACTGTTAACAATTTACATACTCTTCCAAAAATTTTCATTGTATATATAGGAATACATATTATGCACATACACTCACATATCTAAAGAACTCTGAATTCCTTTTAGGACGGTTTGGGAGACAAGAAGCACACTTGCAGAGGCTAATATAGTTCTAACAGACATATAAAAAACATGAAATTAAAATATGAATAGTAAAGAATTCAAACAATATGGAAATATATAAAACAAAAAGTGAAGTTGTCCATTCTCCTGACCCTCTGGAGAGATCAAAGGCACGTCATGCCAACAACTTTTACACAAATGAGATAAGAATGTACATACTAGTATAGCCCTTGATTTTTTTTACCCAATATTTTGGAGTTTCCCATTTCAGCATATACTTATCAACCTCATTCTTTTAAAACAACTGCACGCTTTTTCATTCATGGTCCAGATGTGCCATCATTACTCAACTAGTACTCTAATGATGAACATTTTATGTTGCTTTTTGCTACCAAAATGGCTGGAGTGCATAACTGAACATCTTTGTGTACTTCTAGAAGTGCATCTGTAAGGTGGATTCCTACATGAAATTAAAACATCAAAGGGTATGTGCATCCACCTAACATCTTGCCCTTAGAAGCATGGTACCAATTCACTCCATCAATAATGTATGCAAATACCTATTTCCTGAATCTCAGCAAACAGTGGGCATCACCAACATCTTACTACTTACCTAGTTTAGGGGAAAGGGGGCACCTCAGATTTTTAAGCTGCATTTCTTTAACAGTATAACTGAATAACCCTTGTGTTCATATTTCCTTTTCTGTGAACTACCTTTTCATACCCTTGTGAATATTCGTAAAAAAATTATACCAGCTCTTTGTAAATCAAGGACATTTGCCTGTCAGAAACATCACAAATACATCTTCCCAGCTTTTCACTTTTGCCTTTTATTCATGGTATTTTCCCCCAATATGAAGTCATTTGTGTTTATGTGGCTAGCCTTTTCACTTATGGCCTCTACGTTAACAGACTTTACAAATCTTTTTCTGATAAAGTTGTACTTACAAAAACTTCAAATAATTTATATGATCAATATAGGGAGTAAACACATTTTTTGCCTAAAGTGAGGCCGGGGATGGACTGCCAGGCCTGCGGTGGCACAAGTTAATCGGAAGCAAGACCAGTGAACTGCAGGTTGCTGCTCTGATACACCTGCTTCCAGTGGCTGTGTAAACTGCCCCTTGGGATTTCAACTCAGGCCTGTCAGACCCCAAAGCCCAAGTTCCTAATCTTGACCTTTTTTTCACCCTGCTGGAGTGAAACCTGCTTGCAGTAGAGGCTTGCATTTGCCGAGATGAGTAGGGGAACAGAGCAGCAGTGAGAAAGGTGACTGGGAATCAAATCCAAGCTTCACCACTCTAGACAAACAGGACCAACTGCTTCACCTCCCTGAACCTCAAAGATGGCACCACGCTTGAAGAGTGGGTGGCACCTTTAGGCAAGTCTGTAGGTGGGAAAACACTTTGTAAACTATCGTATGTTATACACACTGGGGGGATAGGTTAAATGGCAAGAACCCCAGATACACTTGGGAGGCTCAGGGATCAGTCAGGCTTCCTTCATTATAGATAGAGAGTATCAACTGAGAAGTAGAAAGTACTAACACTAACAAAATGTAACAGAACAGCTGGAACTTGACCCAGACCTGTCTCCCTGTCCATGACTCTTCCCCCCGCCCATGAAGATAGGTCCCTCTCTTTATTCCAACCCTCCCCCTCAACTATCAGCATTGATCCCCTCAACTAAGACTTTTTCCTTTTCTTTTCCCTAGGCACCCATTGCTGTGCGGCTGGGCAAAGTAGCCATTGACAGAGGAATGGATGTAAGCAGGTTCTGGGTCCACTGAAGTCAGTGGGATTGCTGGGAAACAGTGCTTTCATGGCTCATGCAGACTGAGAGCACAGCTAGAAACAACTCAGGAACCAGACTTTTCTAACAAACACGGAGTCTGACCTCTCTCTGTGCCTTAGTTTCCCACCCACAAAATGGAAAATTTGGCCAGGTGATATTCCAAATTACATTTTATCCTCATCTCTTTCTCTTGGAGAGAAAGTAATTTGAGTAAAAGGGTAAATGACTTACCTAGGATCACAGAACAAGTGTAATAAGAATGCAAGTCTGTATGGCTCCCAGTCCATGTTCTTGGGTTTATGCTGGTGGTCAGTAAGGTGGCCTCAAGGATAGGGCTCAGGGTGGTGCCTTGGAAGCTACTAATCCATCCTCAGACATCAACTTACTCATCAACTCATCCATTACACACTGAATCTAGACCTGAGCTGAGAACTGGGACACAGAGAGAAGTCAAATATGGTCACTCCCCTAAGGTAGGGAAACAGGACAGATACAGACACAATCACTAGTACAAGGCAGGGGTACCTGGCTGCCTCAGTCACTAAAGTATGCAACTCTTGATCTTAGGGTCAGGAGTTTGAGCCCCATGATGGGTGTAGAGATTACTAAAAAAAGGCAGGGGTGGGTACCAAGCAGACACAGCTACTGCTGGGTATTGCTGGGTTAGGGAATGTTTTGTAAGGTTGGGCCTTGGGTTGGATGAGGGTTCAAAAAAATGGGAAAAGTATGAGCAAAAGCATAGACGTGTATAAACAAGTAACTTGACTGGGAGTAAGGGGTGAATGAGACTATACAGCACGTTAAGTTAGGGGCACAGGCATTCTGATGCTGGACTGTCTGGATTCAAAGACCTGCTTCTCCATATATAGTTGTGACCTTCACCTTTCTATGCCTGATTTCTCAGCTGTATAGTAGGGATAATAACCCTTGCTGTGAAAAGTAAACGAGTTTATACACACATGGTATTTCTCTTAGAATGGTGCCCATAAGTGGGAGCAACAGTAAGCACTGGGCAGTAGAGACTAGAAAGCTGCCAGGGGCCCGGCCATAAACCCCAGGGCCTTACTCCTCAGGACAACAGAAAGCCTGTGAAGTTCACTTACCAGGAGTGACAGGAGGTGTGGAGAGGCAGCCAGATGGGAAGGAAGGAACACTGGCTATGTACAGCTTCCATACACCCTCCTCAGCTCCCCAGGCCAAGTGCAATCCTCCCCAGTTCTCACAGCCCCGCCTTGTCCCAAACACTGTTTTATCACTGCTACAAATGGTGTTCCCTCTCCAGGTAGGGAATTCCTTATCATATTCATCTCTGTTCCTATGGACTAGCATATAGTAAGCCTCAGTAATTCTTTGCTGGAGGAATCCATGAACACTAGGAAATGGTGTAGGCAGTAAGGTGGGCTGGCACCCCAAGCAGACAGAGGGGAAGAAGGTCAGGCTGATCCAGGCACCACTTCTTTCTCACAGGTGGACATCGCATCAGGGATGGCCATTGAAGGGATATGCTATGCCCAGGTACGTGACCGCTGTCCGTTGGTACATACTTGCAAGCAGAGGGCAGGCCAGAGTGGGGAGACTTGTGTAATACATAACCAATTTAGTAGGCCCCTCCCACCCTGAAGAGTTAAACTCTGTGCCACTCCCTCTCACAATTAGCGTGGGATGGTCCTAGGGAAACCACACTGGTCCCTGGTACTGTGTCCTCAGCCATCTAATGGTGGCTCATACTGCCCCACTTAGTGCACAGAGAGTCACAAAGCACACAGGTAGAGGTAAGTGGCAAAGAGCCACTTCTTTTGTCTCTGTACCAGTGGCTGCTGTAGAGACCAGGATGGCCTTGCAATGTCAAGGCCTTGGTTATAGCCTGCGGGCTGTGTGTGTGTTCAATTGTGGAGGATTGGGGGAGGATGGTTACCTAAGGCTGACTTATTTAGCCCTTGACTCCTGGGTAAGTCAAAAATGCTAATATCCAGGTTAACAAATATCCAAAATACTCCTAAACAAGGGGTCTGGGGACTTGTAGAACCTGGTGCAAACTGGCTACACACTAGGATTCAAAGCCAGATTTCTTACTGTAAAACTTAATCATTCTTTACCGATCAGCCTCGTATTGGACTCCTGCAGACTATCAGCTCCCTGGAAGCATGTAAGCAGTGTGCAAGAGGCTAATGTGACAGGTCACAGATGCTAGAGAGGTGGCCTAACTTCCCCAGGTGATCAAGGAGTCAGGCCCACACCTTTGCCTGGCCCATCATCAGAGTTCAGAAACAATGAAAAGACTTGGACTTTGACCTTGCCATGGGCTGGACAAGCTTAAGCAAGTCTTTATTGGCCTCTGGCCCTGTTGTGCCCCCCACCCCACCCCAAATTAATACTCTGTATTGTTGTTTCAGAACATCCCCACCCAGGACCGGCTAGAGGGCATGGCAGCCTTCAGGGAGAAGCGGCCCCCCAGATTTGTTGGCAAATGACTCCCATTTAAGTATGGGAGATGCAAGCCATCAAGGGCAAGATCCACAAGGACAATGATAGATATAAAACAACTGGCATGGTGTCTGATACCAAGGTACTGACCATGCCACTGACTGCTACCTTCATTATTCCTTATCCTGGGGCTAGATGACCACTGGGGTCAAGTTAGCTTTGGAGAATATCTGTCTCTCCCTATTTAAATGGTAAACTAAGGATTAAAATAGACTACTCTGGGTCTTTATATTATTGACTCTCAGGCCTGGCCTGACCTCTGCCACTCAATTATCGGGTGCTCACCAGAGACAGCAAAAGGTTGTAAGAACCCTCCAGTTTCTTCCTCCATACAATAGGGATAATATGGATGGAAACCCTGGTCATGGTAGAACAGGCATCAGGAATCAGACTGCAGATCCCAGCTCTCCTAGTTATTCATTGTGTGCCTCAGCTTCTTCAGCTGCAAAATGAAACTGTTAAAAACAAAAAAGCCTATGCCTCATGTTCAATAAATGTGAGTTATTATTACTGTACAATGCTCGTGAGAACCGAATGAAATCATCACTGTGAAAACTTTTTGTAAACTATAGGGTGGCAGGCAATCTTTGATGGCTGCAGTACACAGTGCTCTCAGGAGCACTGAGAAGGGAGCAGGTTAAGTCTGAAGGAGAGAATGGAGGGTCAGGAAATGGTCAGGTAACACTGGAGTGAAGCCGCAACGTTCAATAGGCATTTGAGGCAAAGAAAGGAAGGGTAAGGGAAACAGCATGAGGGAAAGTGAGCAAGAGGATGACACACTTAGAAATGATGGTGGCTGATAAACACATATGCACACTAAGCCTCATAGCCCTGCTCCTGTACCAAGGTAGGAAAAGAGAAGGCTGCATCTTAAGCTGTGGCCTTATGATCATTCTTTAACTCATCTCAGCTTCCCCAGCTTAGGGCTGGTCTAGACATACTAAGCCAAGGGCATGGATACATACCAGTAACATTGTCGATGTGCTGCTAAATACAAGTGTGCCCAAGCCTGTGCTCATTTCCTGGAAGGAATAGTAACAGAGCCCAGGCCTTAGAATCAGAAAGAACCACATTAGCTGGAGCCACGCATTCCTTGTAACTACTCAGTAAAGTAACAATGTTACTTAACCTCCTTTTTCTCATCTGTTAAATGGGGGAGAATACAACTTATCTGTATCAAAGGACTATCATGAATGAAACAAAGTTCAGAGGGCTGCCTCAACAGGCACTAGTTCTTACTTACCACATCCTCCTATCAGTAAGAGTTAGTATCTGGCAACAGAATGTTCTAAAATACTGGAACCCAGGTCAGGAACTGAAGACAGCCTTTTGGAATCATGCAAAAAAGTGAATACAAGAAAATACAGTGCAGTTTCAGAACTGTGGAAGTAAAGAGATTACAAATTCTCCTTATCTTGCTCACTGGTGAGCAAGAATTTTGAATATGATTTAGAGTAAGGATAAGCCTCATTTGATTCCAAAAGACAGTACACAGAACTCCAGTAAGAATCGGGCCAGTTCGGAGTGCTGAGCGACCAGCTTTTGATATGGGCTCGGGTCATGATCTTGTGGTTTGTGCGTTCAAGCCCCACGTCAGGCTCTGCACTGACAGCAAGGAATCTGCTTGGGATTCTCTCTCCCTCTCTCAAAAAATAAAAAATAAATTAAAAAAAAAAAAAAGTCTGGCCAGCTAAAGCACAAACATCTAGTATAAAAATATGCCACTAATCAAAAAGGAATATACTTTCGTTCTTTGGAAAACTTAAACAGAGGAATGGCAAAACATATTTCGTTGGTTGTCAATAGTAAGGAAGGAATTCATACTCTGTTCCACTGAGGTTTGCAAAGGACACAAACAGAAGCCTCTGATAGTTTATACTGCAGTTGAGGCTGGTTCTCAAAAGCCCATTATATTTCTTGTCTTCATGCTAGGTAAGAGCACTCTTGAAATCTATAGCAAAGTCTTTTTTCTGGCCCTTCCTCTTCTTCTCAGTTTTGGTCACAATCCCATTTAAATCAAAACTTTGAGGGATCAAGATTTACAATGCCCATATAATCATTATCTAAACCCTCTACTCACAGTCATCAAGTCCTACTATTTTCCACCAGCACATCCACTTACACAGAATGTTATGTTCAGTCTAGTGTGTAAAGTTGGAGCCTTTTGCAAAAGGCCAAAAGCAGAATACCCAAAATTGTAAAAAATATATTTTTTCCTTCCCTCTACCCCACAAGTGGAAGGTACTTTGGTATTTATTACAAAAAAAAAAAATTTCCCCTCTTTTTCCTCCCCTCCAGCTGAGATTCTGCCTTCTAAACAACACATTTATAAGCATGTATTTTCCAAAGCTTTTTCATGTACTTCTTTTCTAGTAGCCTCACTAGGAATAACAACTCAGGATATTCTTTCAAACATGAAATTTAACATAAATATCAAGGTCTCCCTGTAGGTCTTTCGTTTCTCCTTCCTCTCTGAAACTCCCAGAGTTAAGAAGCTGGCCAGGGCTAGGAAAAGTAACTGGCATAGCTGTTCCAACATAAGCTCACAGACCTCCCCACATAGTCCAAGGCTTGATTTTGCAAAGCTGTTGAAGGAGCGTTCCCAGAATGATTCCAACTTGATTTGGGATTATGGCTATCATTCAAAATCAACCTTTTTGCAGCCTACAGAAAATCAACAATGAAGGCCAGTGAGGCAGCCAACTTACAAACTCCAATGATAACTTGTTTCAACACTGAACTGCTGGCAAGGCAGAAGGGCTGACACTGAGGAACAGACAGCACCTCTGAAGCCCCAGGGGCTGAGGAGGGCATTCAACACAGAGAGGGTCTCTGATAATTCATGAAATGCATTCTGAAGTCATCTAGAATGGAGGTTGCAATCCTCTGTGCTTGAGCATCTGCCTCACTGTGCTCCTGGATGTCGCACAAAAACTGCAATCCTTCTTCTTCAACTAACATTCTGCAGTATTTGCTGGCTGAAAGAAAATCAAAGAGAACTGATGGACAAACTGGCATTTTAAATATTCCCAAGTCACCACATTCACCTTTTTGAAGAAAGGGTACCAAGGTTTAAGCCCTTTGACATAGGAATTAACAGATAAAAGAAATATGTCAAAGGGCACCTGGGTGGCTCAGTCGGTTAAGCACCCGACTTCGGCTCAGATCATGATCTCACGGTTTGTGGGTTCGAGCCGCACGTTGGGCTCTGTGCTGACAGGTGGGAGCCTGGAGCCTGCTTCAGATTCTGTGTCTCCCTCTCTCAGCCCCTCTCACACTTATGCTCTCTCTCTCTCAAAAGTAAACATAAAAAAAACTTAAAAAAAAATACGTCAAAACTTAAATAATGCTTGGATTGTGTAGTGCAATTATAAATGATTTTTTAGTATGTTTATTTCCAGACAACTCTATGCCTCAAATCTCTAATCCTAGCTAAAAGGATAGAAACTTCTTTTATTATAAATGTAATACACATTTCAAGTTCAGGCGTTATGCTAAGCTAGATGACCTGATAACACTAGATGCTGGATAAAATATAACAAAAAATTTTAAATGTATACTCATGTGTACAAAGTAAAGAACTTGTCCAGGACCCAGACACAGATTGCAGAGAGCACCTAAGCTCATGTAACTTTATCTGCAGCTATCCCGGGGAAGAAAGGGACTGTAAGTTTCAGTAATCTAGGAATTTAGGTTCCAACTTACAAAGTTAGAAGCAATCTATATATAATAAAATATGTATCAGTGCATAAAGCTGACCCCTCAAAGGACTATAGGAGAGAAGGGATAAGACAATGAAAACATTTGGCTTCTAGGTGGGTATACAGGCGTGGTTGGAAGAAATCCTCCCCAAGAATTCATAACCACAGTAGTGAGTTGGTATAGGATTTGAATTTATACTGCCTAAATGTTCTGGGAACCCTTGAGCTGAGAAGTTAATATGAAAATTAGTTCAATCCCAGGAAAACCTCTAGAGCACCTGAGGGAAGCAAATACAAAACTGCGTAGTCTAAAAAGGAGTCTCTTAATCACTCCAAAGGCCAACTAGACACAGGGAGAAATAATGATCTAATGACATGGAAATTGTTTTTTTAAGGATAAGATAGAATAAAGTGAGAGAAGGTATAAGATACTTCTGACAGACACCCCACAAGGAAAGTATAGGGGAAGAAGAAGATCTTTAAACAGCTGAGAATTTTCATCAATTTTGGAAAGTGTAACTGTGACCTGAAGTCCAGAGGCTGTGTAACAAAAGGCTGATGAAACATAATGAACAAAGTCAAGACAATAAACTGCAGAAAAAATATTTGCAAGAGTTCCTTCAAATTAAAAAGATCAACAAAGAGTAGACAAAAAGTGAATAAAGAATATCAATGGACAATTCAAGGAAACGAAAATGAGTCTTCAATAAAAGATAGTTAATGTAACTTAAATGTTAAGCAAGACCATCATTTCACCTTAAATTGCCAAAGAACAAAACGTTCAATTAAACATTGTCTGTGTAAGAATGACAAGCTTTCATACATTGCTGACAGGAATGAAAACTGATAATCAACTCACCAGAAAACAGTTTAGCAATGCCTATCAATATCACCATGTTCCTAACATTTTGACTCAGCAATTCTAAATATTATACAGATTAACTGACACTTGCAAAATGATACACTTAACAAATGATATGTACTATGCGTGAACTAATAGTGTGCTATGCACAAATGCTAATACTATGAGCCTAGCGATGTTTTAAATGCTTAACGAATATTAACCCACTTAATTTTTTTCAATGTTTATTTATTTATTTTGAGAGAGAGAGAGACAGACAGACAGACAGACATGAGTGGGGGAGGCACAGAGAGAGAGAGGGCAACACAGAATCCAGAGCAGGCTCCAGGCTCTGAGCTGTCAGCACAGAGCCCAATGCAGGTCTCGAACTCATGGACCACAAGATCATGACCTGAGCTGAAGTCAGATGCTCAATCAACTGAGCCACCCAGGCACCCCAACCCACTTAATTCTCACAGCTCTATAAAGTAGGTATTTTCATCCCCATTTTATAGTTAAGGAAACTGGGGCACAGTGAAGTCAAGTAACCTGCTCAAGTTCCCACTGTTAGTAACTGGCAGAAACTGGGAACAGAGCACAGGTAGTCAGTCTGGTTCTAACATCTTCCTCTTAATTACCCACATGTGCATCTTCAATTCATAGATAGATAGAGTTACAGATATATAGTCTTTGTATATCATTTTTCATTGTACATTAATCCATATTCATGTATATAAATATGTTAATATTCAATAAAATAGTGCTTGTAATAGAAAAGACTAGAAACAATATCCATTTAAAGAAGACTGGTTAAATAATTATATCTATATAGTGAAGAAATACTGAGCAGTCTAATAGTGGTAATCTGGAGCTCTGCCAGTTGCTATTTTAACTTTAGCAAGTTACTTAAGTTCTCTGTGCCTTGTTTGCTCATCTGTAATAAATGAATAATAATAATAATGCTACCCCCTTCTCGTTGTTGTGAAG